ACAACAGTTTGCTGAACAATTTGATGTGAAATTACTAAAATTTAAGTAAAACTCGCTAAAAAATTTTACATAATTTTTAATTAACATAACATTTTATAAGAAATGCAATGCAAAAAGTATGAAGAATCTATAAAACAATTTTCCACAACACAAGCTTGAATAAAAATGTACATTTAATATGAATAAATGTGATTTTAAAAGTGTAAAATACCTTATCAAATAAAAAATAAAATATTTTATCATTTAGAAGGTGCGTCGAATTTCAACCAATAGCACAAAAAATACAAAACATTCTAAAACACTATTTTTTGGGGGGGGAATCCTTTTTAGTAGTTTCTCAGAATCCATAATATTGGGGAAAGCAGTGTACATGAAGTCTTTTCTTTTTGCATTCAAAATACATGTTTGTAGTGCATTTTTGGCACATTACACAATGCCCTTGTGATGATGTAACTATGTAATGTGCATCTGATTTTTCTTGCAGATGTTGACTTATGGGCATGGGGTCCAGGTACAACGTGAATTTTAGTCCTTGCTCGAAGAAAATTCAAAGTAATTTCTCTTCTAAAATTCGCGTTAAGGCTCGTTTCCACTACTGCGTACGAACGCGTTGCGTCAATTGAAGACACGCCTACGGCATCCGTACAAGCGTTTCCACTGCTGCGTATGCGTAAAATATTTTCATTTTCCGCCGCTAGGTGTCACTGTAATATTTTGGCGCAAGCAGTTCGCAAGTTACGACGCTGAACATCTGAATTTTTCCCGCTTAAGCGAGTATTGTTTGTTTTGGATTTGATATGGATTTTTAGATAAGTATTTTAGATAAGTATAATGCATATTATGAACATCACGAATTCCATAGAAGCTGAACTAAATAAAAAAAAATTTTTTTGTGTTTCTAGAAGCCTAAATATTATGAAATAATATATATATTATTAAAACTAAAATGTACTGTTAGTGAAAAAGTAAACAATAAATAACATAAAATAAAAAAGTTAAAGGGATTAAAAAAATAGTTGATACTTTAAAAGTACAGAGCAACTGTAAGGAAAGGTTCACAATATTTAAGCAAAATTTGCTATGCTTGTATGCCGCTGACTTCAGGGTCATAGCTGGATAATTTATTAGAAATCTCGTTTGTTTTTAAAATGCACTATGGGCAGTTTATATTTTATACATAATCCATAAAATATTATTTTTAATTTAAAACATTTTTAATTCATATCTCTTTTATACAGAAGTTATAAAAAATAAGATTTTTCTCTTTATATACACACATTAGGTAAAGAAAATGGAAATATTTAATTAATTAATTCCTGCGCTTCTGCAGGAAGAAGGACTGAATTTAAAAGCAATTATTATAGTTATTTTTTGTTAAAAAATGTTTAGGGCATTAATACTGTCTCATGTTAATTGGTAATGAAAGTTTAGAGTCCGTAAACATCCCAAAGTCTGAGCCACATGTATATACATTCACATAAAAGTGAAACAAATATATATATATATATATCTGCAGGGTTTCAAAATAAATTAAATTTAAATAATTCTCTTGTTGCGCCATTGCTGCAAGGAATGAAATTTGAATTTAACAAACATTTTCTATTCGTAAAAAATTAAAAAGTTAATTTAATTTAAAATTTAAATGAAATTTAATGCAAACAAATAAAGGATTAATTATTGCTGCGAACTAATATACAATGTCATTTAAATTCTGAGAGCATATGTAATCAAGTGCAAGTATCAAAATCCATGAATAAATATATAATTCCAAAAAATTTATTTATCCTATTATTCAGTTATGCATTTTTATAAGTTTTTTAGGATTAAATCTATCCTATTATTCATTTATGCATTTTTATAATTTTTTTAGGATTAATAATCTATCCTATTATTCACTTATGCATTTTTATAATTTTTTTAGGATTAATAATCTATCCCATTATTCACTTATGCATTTTTATAAATTTTTTAAGGATTAATAAATTTTTGGAATTATATATTTATTCATGGATTTTGATACTTGCACAGCAATAATTAATCATTTCTTTGTTTGCATTAAATTTCATTTAAATTTAATTAACTTTAAATTTGCTTTTACGAATAGAGAATGTTTGTTAAATTCAAATATATATGTACAGGATATGCTTTAAATTAGTATTATATAATTTTCAAACTTTTTTGCAGGAAAAATTTAAATAAATAAGAGCATAAATAAAACAATATATTTAATGCATATAATAATAGAAATAAATTATAAAACCACGAATATAGATCAAATTGGAATAAAAAGGTAAGAAAGTTGCAGACCATGGTGCAAAAAGCGTATGGGATTCGAACTCACGACTCCAAAAAAAGTGGACATCGTTACCATCAGCTTTACCACTAAGCTAGGATTACACGTAAGTCGCATGCATATTTTTGGGGTTATATACATCATCAAGTAAATCAATTCTTAAAACTTAAGTTTTTTGGTCCTATTTCACTTGCTATTGTCTGAAAAAATTCACCAGAGTTTGTTCTTCAGCTTCTAGTACATTTTTTGGAAAAATCATTATCTTTTAAAGTGGCGTTCCGATTGAAGTTTAAAACGGGCTGCTAAAAAAATATATTTCATGTGCTTACAATATATGTTATCCAAAAGATATATTTATAAAGGGAAATACAAATTTAAAAATACTCTTCAAGACTGGAGTATTTAAAAGGCTATCAAATTAATTTATAATTAACGTTTTTAGTTTTACTGTTTCAAAAGAAAAAAATAGCAAATCTTTTTAATCATATCTAATTTGCTATAGCAGTTTGATATAGTCAGACATTCATTTTCATTAAAGCTAAATGAGTATGCAGAACTAAAAAATGATTATCAGAACAAATTTTGCTATTTCATGGACTTGGAATGATAATTTTGCTTGCTGATGTTCTTGAATGAACAAGTACTGTAGTTGCAGTTATCTGTTTTTTTATCATTTTAAACTAAATTCAGCTGATTGCTGTCATTTTCAGCACGCAGATTCTCGCTATAATGTTAATTCAGAAATAAGTATTTTTTAGCAAAACATTCTTTCCCTATTAGCGAGCATTCATCGCTACTTCTGCCGCCATTAATTTTTAGTCACTGCACCTGATTGCTCCTTTTTCACCACGTGACCCCAACGCAACCGCAGACATACGGATAGAAGTTGAACATTGTTGAACTCCATCCGTATGTCATCCGTCACCGCACACCGACCGGATTGCAGATGTCAATCAAAGTGAATTCGCTCGCTGATTGGAGAAACGCATACGCAGTAGTGGAAACGGGCCTTTAGTCATTTCTAATGTGGTGTTTTTGTGTAAATAAGTGTGCAAGATCCAGCCAGCAGCCACAAACATATTAAGTGCATTGATAAATAAGTTGCAGTACTATTTTTTGCTGAGAAATTTTGGTCGATAACTTTGAAGTCGATTCAACAGGTCTACTCCATCCATTCCTTCATTATATAATTTTATAATGCAAGTTGGGGGAACATCAACTTTCTTTCTTTCTTTTTTTTTTTTTTTTAGCTTGGACATACCTTTGTGCTCTTCCTAATGGTTCGCGAGTGATAAAATTTATGCAATGGTTACAACAGAACTATCTTTCCAATGGCACATATAAACTTCTCCATCGCATCAGTAATCAAATTCAACGTTTCTTTTGCTTTTTAAGAGGACATTGTTCCATTCTAGAATCTCGTACTGTGCTGATTGCCATAAATCCTTTGTTAGATAAATCTGTCAGCAGACTATGCAATGTAAAAAAGTTATCAAAAAATGTGTTTCGCTGGATTGTCAATAAAAGATAATTGTTCGGAGAAAACTTTTTATCCAAATGGCAAATTTTCCTTTTTCAAACTTTTTCCATCGTAGATAGACATAGCATATGGATAACCATTTGCTGAGTAGAGCACCCAAACTTTGAAATGAAAGCAAATTGGTTTTCCACATATGAACATCTTAGCAGAATGATATCCATAACACGGAACAATGGATTCATTGATACTCAAGATTTTCATGGAAAAATCCAAACTGACAAGTTTTTTCCAGTCTTCATAAAAGGGAGAGATTTGCAGCACATGTAGTCATTTACAACAAAAGAAACAAGCAGCTGTCGGAGCTCAAAACAGGGAAATGCAGCTGAAACCATTTACCACCTCCTCTTGGAGAGAGAGAGATGAGACCCCCCTCCTTTCTTCAGAAACAAATGCCTCATTGTTAATGCCTCTCAAAAAAGGCATTTTTACAAGATATGATCACTGAATGTATTTAAATCTAATAAAGAAAAATATGCGTCTCATATTACTGATTTTGTATATCGTTACATGCCAATGTTCTTTTTTTGGAACATTGCAGTTTCAAGCAGTCGCGAGGGAATATTAATAGAAATATTTCAATTTCTTTTATTAACTCATTAAACTTGCCCTTTGCAAGTACGATGGGGGAAATATTTGGGTAGATTTGAATTTTTAGGAATTTTATAGAATTTTTTTTTTCTAAAGAGGTGTAAAAATTGTAAAAAAAAATAAAAGCTGATTTTTAGAAACTTTTCAACGCAGAAATATTCATATTTAAAAAATAGACTTTATTGAAAAAAAAAAAAAAGTCATACCTTCTATAATAAACGGTAAATTTTTCAAACTGATATGATAGTTTATTCATTAAAAATATTAAACGTGATGTTCCAAAAAAAAAAAAAAAAAAAAAAAAAAAGGAACAATAGCATGTAAAAGGTTAATTTAAATACTTAGCACATCCTTTTTGTAAATTTAGTTGTTTCTTAATAAAGATCTTAAAAATAAAAAATGGGAGCAAAGGAAAAAAATTTAACCCAAAGTGTTATCATAGTGTACTCAAACATTAAAACATGTTTTATTTATTATAAATAATAATAAAGCATAAAAACTTATTTTTAAAAGAAAAATGTTGAAATTAGCAGCTAATGTTTTATGTATTTCAGGAAATTTATCATATAAATATTATAATTACCTTAACTTTTGTATGTAATTTATTACTGTGGAAGGGATGAAAAATCAAGTTACGAAATTTTCAGTGAAATTTTTTACAATACTTTCTGCTGATAAGATACAACCTTCAAATGTTGAAAAAGATAATCCATCTCCTCCACATATAAGAACTGGAAATGTAGAAAGAACTAAACAGCCTGGGTTTCCACTGTAGCTTTTTTCTACCTGCATGAGATATTTAACACAAATCATTCTATTGAAAATTTGGAATACCGAATGTCTATTTTATGAACATAATTAATTAAATCAAACAAGATAAAAATTTCTGAATAGTAAAAATTGCAGTCACATTTAGAAATAACGTTTTGGACATACTGGAAGATAATCATAAGCAGAAAGGTTGTGTTTTCTTCCTGCAGCATTTGTCCTGAAGTACAGTAAAACCTTACTTGACCGAAATGATACAGAATAAGTAATTTACGAGTTCCGTTATAATAACGGATAATAACGTTATAATAACTTATTATATTTGTCACTAATGTTAATATTTACTTAGTGCCTGCTCATATGTTACAGTTATGTAAAATGTTAAAACAGACTAAATATAAAAACTATATAGAAATAAGAGAAATTTAATCTTTGAAAATGAGCCTAAAATGAAAAGATTCCCAAAAATCGGTAAAATGTTTCACTGTTATATTTACATTCTTGAAATGCAAACGATGCATATTTCTTGTGATAAATATATTTATTATTGATTGAATGGATACCACATTTGAAAAGCAGTGACAAAATGATTAAAATATTAACATACTTTTATAACACTATTCATATTTACTGACTTAATCAAGACCTTATGTATCAAGCACAAATTTGCTGCCTATGTATTGTTTTGTAAACACATATTTAAACAAATAAGCAATTACTAGCATAAATAATGCCTAATTAATGTTTAATTCATATGAAATGTATGTGTTTTTTGCATAAATATTAGAAAATGAAGTTATTGATGTAAACTGAATAAAAGTAAACTATTCTTAACAGAAATATTGTGAAGAGATTATTTTGATAACATTTGATGCAATATTCAGCTAATTAAAGGTAAGTTATTCAAATATGTATAAATATCTTACACCATGAAAATGTAAAAAGAAAATTTTTAGTTCTGCATTTTCATGAGATGTTTTAAACCATCCAGTCCAGCAAACAAATAACAAGTACTAGGTTGAATGTAAAACATGTTTAAGGAGCAAAAGAAAAAATTGCTGAAAATTGTTTGTTCTTGGATAAGAGGAATCTGTCTGATTGTCCTCGAAAACCATAGTTTTATTCAGAATCTAAACCTAAGGTTACATCCCCCCACCATTTTAAATGGTGAACCAAAATCAAATTTAAGCAATCTTGGTGACTCAATCACTCATTTGGTAATGTTTCTCTGTCATTCAGCAATTTCTACAATAAAACATATAATGTTCACATTAAAAAAAAATCAAGTTTCCAAAAATGAAAACTTTTCATTAATTTGCAAATTTACTGCAATAATACCCGCCCCCCCCCAAAAAAAAGACCTTGTTGTAGTCTCATTTATTCTTGGCTTTCTGTGTCTTCCATAATTATGATGCTGTATTAAAATATATTTTACACTCCACACTCTTAATAGGACTATGAAGGCTTTGAATATCTATTCACCTTTGCTAATTTTTTATTACAGAATGTTGTGTTTTAAGAATCTATGACACTGATGTGAATGTCTTCTTTGATTACTGTAAGATGTTTGTGAAAAGGGCTGTATTCAACAAAGATAAATGCAAAGTGTACTGATATAATGAACTGTGTTATATATGTTTCGAAGATCGAATTGCCGAAGAGTATTTATTTTGTTAATCTCTTCACGATAGAGCAACTGCAAGTGAAATTTTTCAAAGTAATTGACAATTTTATGTCTGAAAATGATATCCCTTGGAATAAGTGCACTGCCGTATGCAGTGACAGAGCTTGGGCGTTAAAAAGAAAACATTCTGGAGGGATTTCTCAAATAAAGAAATTCGCACCTGAAACTAAATTTATTCAGTACTACATTCATCGTGTAGCCAAAACAACCCCCAAAATCCTGAAAAATGTTTTGAATCAAGCTGTGAAAATTATTAATTTTATTAAAAGAATATTTACGATTTTATGCCAAGAGATGTGCAGTGAACATGAAACGCTTTTGTTAATTCCAAAGTAAGGTGGTTATTCAGAGGCAAAAAAAAATTGGAATATAAATCCATTTTGTTCAAATATACCTGAAATTTTATCTCAAGAAAAAAGAACAATTGATAGAAATTTTCTGAGATCGAACTCTAACTGAAGATTTAAAAAATAACACACTTGGTAACTTTAAAAAATAACACATTTGGGCTGTACCGAAGAAAAAAATTTAAAAGTATTTCAAATAAAGCTATTAAATTTTTATTGCCTTTTTGCGCAACCTATTTGTGTAAACAAGGATTTTCTTTCGTGTTGTGTTTGAAAATAAAATTTAAGGTGAAATTTAAAGCAGTTAAAACTAAGTGAAATAAGACCAGACATAAAGATATTGATCTCTCTTAAACAGGCTCAAATTTTAGAATTAAAGTATTATGACTTAAATTTTGATAGTTATAATTGTAACTAATTTTTAATCTAATATCTTTTAATGTGTGCATATTTCATACAAATAGCCAATAGGTTGTGGAAATGGCAATATATGTATACATTTAATATTTCTATTGAGAAATTTAAAAATAATCATTGTAAAATGTAGTAGTGGTACTTATGGTACACGTTAATGAAAAGGTTGAGAACAACTGCTTTAGAGTATTTTGTTTCATATTTCCTCAGCATTCCTTGAAAGCAAGGAGAAGAATTACAGCATCTGACAAATTTACTTATTTTCCCCTCCAAAAAAATGTGTTTAGTTTTTAAACATGTCAACTATTCCTTGAAAGCAAGGAGAAGAATTACAGCATCTGACAAATTTACTTATGTTCCCCTCTAAAAAAATGTGTTTAGTTCCTAAATCAAAAGTTTTCAATAAAACTGCAAAAATGCACTTTCCTTCTTTGTTAGATGCCACTACAGCTATTGACTTATCTCTTAATTGTCTTTTCATTGTTTGTTTTTTGGAAAATCCACAAAGTTACTGCAGATACTTTGAGACATGAGCATAAAGCTTATGTCTGGATGATTACCTGAACTAGGCATATATGTTACTTAATAATTGTGTATAGCTGGGTGCTCTAATTTGTGCAGGAAATTCGCTTTTAATACATTTTCACTTTATCTTCAACTAATTCTTTTTCCATTTTAGCACTTTCTTTTTTTTTTTTTTTGCTTGAAAAGACTTTTATTTAATTAATTGTTAGTTGCTCAATCCTATGGATATTCGGCGAGTACATTTTTCTTCTTTAAATAATTGAGACTAATCATATGTTTCATTAGAATATCCTGCTTCTGGCCTTCTAATATTATATTTGATGATGGCAATGAACATAATAATACAGTATGTGCATCACTTAGGTACATATCCTCTTGTGCAAGCTTCTTTATTCTGTCAATTATTTCTTTTTTAACCCTTTGACGCGTCCCCCTGAAACCACCAATTTTCGAATTTTTTTCTCCTCTTCTTTTCAAAATTTTTGAGTGAAGATCGATTGATTAGTGATCTTTTACCTCTAAATAACACAAAATGACTGCAGAATCATACATGTTTTAGGTCTTAGTATTTCAAATCAGATGCCTTTTAAATTTTGTTTTCAATGAGATAAAATAACTTCCTTTTATTAATATAAACAATTTTAAATTTCAAAAGTTATTCATAGCACATCATGATTTCTGTCATATACAATAAAAAATTGCAATAATTAAACTGCATATATTAAAAAAAACCTCTATATGTATGGCATTTGCTATGTGGTTTCAGAGCGTGACCACTGCGCCACTAGAGCATTGTGTCACAATGTTCACAATGGTAGAGGCTCGGTAGTCGCGTCTTGAAACCATGCTCTTCACAGTGGCCTTTGCTTGCTTCTCAAATAGGAATGTTTATTTTTACCCAAATATAGATAAGGGGTTTTCAAACCCCAGAGTTATTTTTATTACTAAACAATACATGCACCTGCTCAGTAAAAAGGTCTCTCTTTTCCAAAGACTTTTCTCTGACCTCAACACAATTGCTCCCCAAGCTAGTATTGTGACTTTATAAATTATTTCCTGCAGTTAAAATTTAATTTAAATATACTTTGCCATAATTAAAAACAGAAATCAAGAGAAGTTTTATTTAAATTTTTATTAAATATTTTGGGACGAAATACGAATAAAACAAATATGAATGGGAAACGAACGATCCGTACAAAGCCAAAAAGACCAAGCCCCCCTACCATTAACATTTCATGTGCCAGGTGAAAAGAAACTAAATAACGCTGTACATGAAGCAGTTAAATTTAGATTCAGGCAGTGTACATTTTGTAGCACAAGGAAGAAAACCTCATAGAGCAAGATACATGCGCGAAACGTGCAATGTGGATCTATGCATGTACGAAAAAGACAAAACATGCTTTGAACAGTGTCACAAAAAAAATCAGTTTTTTGAAATTTAAAAACAAAACACTTGAGTTTTTTTAATCCTTTTTTTTTACTGAGTTTTTTTATTCCATTTATCTAAATGTATTTATTATGTAAGTATTTATATTTTCACTGCTATAGAAAAATTGCATAAATGTTTATTTTTTAATTTTTTCTGACTATTTACTTTGTAAAATATTATATTAAAATTACATATAATGCAATCCTTACATACATTTGTTTAAAATTCGTAAATTTCATCATTTATTGGAAATGCGCACGGAAAAAGGTAAGTTTTTTTTTTTTCCCCTACTACCTCAGTAAGTTTCAAAGTCCTAAACGTGCGGTGGTTTCGTAGTGCGACCACTACCCATAAAACAATGGGTAAGAGTAGACTTTTTTAATTCATATATTATTTGTCTCTAAGATCATAATATTCAATTTATAGAGTTTTTAGTTAAAATTATACAAATAATTTCGCGCGCATCATAGGGTTAACGGGCTGTGGTTTAACCATGAAGAAACTGCAAAAAATTGCTCGCTATATGGTGAGAAAACACTTGCTTAAAATGTGCTAAGAGACATATTATCTGGAAAATTATCTACTTAGCCTTTGTATAGATATTCTCCCTCTTTAGTTTTACACAAAGCACTAAATTCTTTGGTAACATTACAAGAGTAATGCAGCTGAATTGTTAGGTATGATTATAAGTGCAATAAAATTTACATAAAAGATGTAATTCATATAAAGACTGAATAGGTAACCTAAGAAACTACCTGGGAATATCTCCACTTGTGAACTTTCATGTCGGATGGCTTAGGCATATCTGGAAGTATGTTCTCCAAACTTTCAAGAATAACAGGCAGAACAGAAGTTAAACTTGCATCTACATTTTTCTTCCCAAATTCTTTAGTAGTGTGAATTAGTACTGAAGGTAATTCATGTTGTTTACCTAAGAATAAATATGTTCTGATAATACAAAATGAAGGTAAAAAGGGAATATTTACAAATTTCATAAATTCTTTTCACGTAATGCTTAGTTTTAGAAAATTACACTTAAAAGCTAAGTTATAATTTGGTTTGGTGCACACATTTAAAAAAAAACTTATTCACATTCAGATTGGTCTCATAGTTGTAGAAATGATTATCAGAGCTTCACTAATCAATTTTCTTGTAATTTGCCTCTTATTTAGAGGACAGTGATAAGATTATTGATTAAAAAAGATTATACTTAGTTTTTACGGTTACGCAAAAGCCATAAATCTATATGCCATTATTTGACATCATTTGCATATAAATATTGTCACTGGAGTACAAATTAATAGAGAGAGTCCTATGGAGTGACAAAACATGTAATTGGTTTGGCATTGTAGCCCATTTAGAGTAGTGTATTGTGGTAGTATTTTGGGAGATATCAGGAAAATGGTCTAAGGTTTTCTATGACTATGCTAGACTTAACCACAGTCCAATGCCCAACATTTGGATTTCAGGTAACATTTGCAGGTAAAACATTTTCAGTAACATTTGCAGGTAAAAATTATATATTTCAGAATATTCTATAATTGCATAGAAAAAGATATCACCACATAAATTAAAACATGAATTGAAGCCAAGATAGTGATGTTTTCTGGATTTTAAATCATATTACAGATATTCACCATTCCACTAAATGACTGAAGCACTCACTGCCTTCACAAAATAAAATTCCAGCTATATTTAGCATTGCATCTCCTATTCCATTAATCAGAAATTTTTTTTTTTTTTTTTTTTTTTTTTTTGGATACCAAACACAATTGAATCCACAGTTTTCACCATAATCATCAATTAATTTGGTAGCTAGCCATAAATTATGCCAAGCATTTAAAAAAATATCTCCAAACACGTTCTATCATGATTATACAGATCCCACATTAGATTTTATATTAAAAAATTTTGAAGTTCTTAGATGGTTTTCCTATGAAAAGTTACTTTAAACCTGCATTTTAGTAAGTGCAAAATTCCAACATCCATTGAATGATTGACTGAAACCATTTTGGGGAAACAGTAAAATAGAGACGTTATCATTTACTAAAACTGTAATTTTTATAAGATAAATAATAATAAATAGATCAAAATAATAAACTGCTTCAAATCAGAAAGTTGGGGAAGAGCATAATTTACTATATTAATTGAACTTATATTCCTCAATCTAATTCCATATGGGGATCTCATTTAATCAAGAGAAAAACCATGTTTGCAACATTCCTTCTTTTTCTTAAGGAAGGGGAAAGAATTTAAAAAAAAAAAAAAAAAAAAATGGTGGTCTGAATTTCCGACTCTGTACCATATTATGGTTAAACTAATTCATGATTTAAACAAATCATGTCTGATATCTTCCTAATATTTTGCATCATGGCAACTATTTATGTCTGGTCCTTTCTTGTTTCAACTTGACAATACACCTGTTGAAAAGCAAGGAGCCTAGCTTAATGATTTGAAGATATGCAAGTAGAAGCACTTAAATGGCTGGTTAACTGGAAAATTCAGTCCCAGTAAACATTTGTGAAATGAGATAAGCTAAGTTATATAGCTTTTCAAGCATGAGATAAAAAATAATTCTTTTCTATGCGCAGGCTCTATGTGTTTAATCATGATTTCAAATTACATATTATTATTAACCTACAACTTTTCTACAGTGAAATTGTAGTATTTCTTAAAAACATTTTGGAGAGCTGTTCCAACTCATAGAGTGGTTAGTGCTCCTGGCTACAGTACTGTTTGTTAGGCTCATGTTCGAATTTCAAAGAAAGCATCTATCTTGGTAAGCGTACGGTATCTGTGTGGCATGGTGGCACTCAAAATACATGGCAGGGCAAAAGTCGTCTCAAGTAGTTTGGTGGTGGGGGAAGAAGAGTAGCAGACCCTTGTACCCATCTCCTGGCATGCTTTCCATTAAAAATTGGCATGAAGATGGGCAAAGGCTTGCTGTCACTTATTTGCTGCTCAAGACTCATGCCAGCAACAGTGCACTGTTTGCCACAGTAAAATTCATAAATTGTTCAGATTAAGTCAGACAAATAAGTTACAATAAAAACATTGTTTGCTGTGAAGAATTTGCACGTAATAAAAACAATGAATCAACAAATTAAGAAACTTGATAATTTTACACTGATTGTTTACTCAGCTATGTAATCATTTGATTATGTAACTTCTAGAATTACATTTGTAGAAATGACAGTTTATCAGAAAAATAATGACCAATTTGAATATCTGTTTGGTAGATTAATCTCATCAGAACTTGAATGATATATTAGCCTTATTTAGTACATTAATCTCTTCAGAACTTGAACTGTATATTAGCCATGTAGATAACTTACCTCTCTTTAAATTATCAATAGAAACAAAGCGAAGCACAGGATTTTCTGAAATATATTTTGCAGTCCAGGAAAGATTATCAAAGAAATTTGTATTATATTTATAAAAGAGACTTAAAGCAAATCTGGAACAATACTCAACAGCTTTCAACTTTCCCAGTTCTCCATCTAAAAAATTTACATTAATATTATATTTTTATAATTGAAAAGTAATGTAAATATGCATTACAAAAGAATAAATTTCGCTAAATGATTAAAATAATTCTAAATACTGATGCTACCTTTAAGACCACTTAGCACAGTAATATGAAATTTAGCATCTTTAAATAGAAGAACACAATCCTGATTATTGATTTTCAAACAACAAAAGATAAGATAGGTGAAAAATTAATATCATAAAAATATTCGACAAAAATTCCATCTTCCTTTGTTGTAATCGGAAATGAAATATTGATATCCTACTGAATCCCCTCATAAGTTATATTATTCAACAATTTTCAATATGCTTTTCAGCAAGGTGGATGCATTTCTTGATAAAGTCAGAATGAGACAATTTATCCCTTACCGTGGAAAATGCATGCAGATCATGTGGAAAAGTAATGAATAACTAAACTTTCTATGAAAAAGCATTACCAGGGTTATAACCCCCCCCCCTCTAGCAGTTGCTTATAACACAGGCTTTGATCCGTACTTTGGCAGGCCTAGCACCAGGAATAAAAATGACGAAACTAGTGGTTTTTCAGGGGCTGTGGAAGAAGGACTTTATCCCAATTCTTCACAGATTTGGTAGTGGCAAGTCCTCAATCTGGTGGTATCAGTAGCAGTCATGGCTTGCCGTTCGATCTGTATTCCGTGCAATTCCACATAAGTATCAGTAGCAGTGCAACAGCTTGAACATTGCCCACAGTATTCTGGGTAATCCCTTCAGTACTGGACCGCCCGTATAGTACTGATAGGCAACAAAGCTGCCTGTCAAATCTTCATTCCCCTCTCTTTATGGTCTCTGATCTCAGGTAGTGATGGCCCCTAGGGACCAGTTCAGCACAGAGGGGATTTTAATAATTTTTTGCCTGACACACCCATCTCCTGCTTAATATGGAGGATCTATGTTGGAGGTCAGACCATATATTGATTATATGTCAGTGACAGAACATATTATATATATATATAACTTAGTCTTACGACAGTTATAAATTCATACAATTGCCAGCTGTGATGTCTGATTTTCTGAACACACTACTAATAAAAAATCTCAAAATCAAATTTTACAACAATATAATAAGATATGAGAAATTTCAATCATTTCTATATACATACACATCAAATAAAGTAATTTAATGGCAATGTGTAGAATACGTATATAAAAAAATTGCCACATATAAATTTAAAAAAGAAAATGTTTACTTTGAATAAATGATGTTATTCCATCTAATTGCAAGACTTGGGGAACTGGTATGGTTAAGATTACAGTGTCAAATTCATGGCTTGAATTATTATCACATAGCAGTTTCAATTTATTATGTGAACTATTAATTCTTGTTACTTTGTGATCAAACAAAATTTCACAACCTAAAAAAAAAGGGGGGGAATAAAATTCAGAAGGACAGCAAGACACAATTATAAATATAAAAGAAATACACTGAAGAGTCAAGACATTATGACCACCTACTCAATAATGCATTGCACTATGTTTGGCCTGCAAAATGCTGAAACTCGCCTTGACATGGATGTGAGAAGTTCTTGGTAGATGAAACTAAATCAAGACAGATTTAGTTTCATAAATCAGGAGATAGATTATACCAAATGTGTAAGCAACAGTTAGGCAAAGTCGAGATATTCCGACTTGGTGGTTTTTGAGCTGTGAACTATCGCTCCATGACATACGAAATATCCTCTATCAGGTTAAGATCCAGCGAGTCAGGTAGCCGGAGTGGAATTCATGCTTATGCTCCTCAAAACATTCCAACATAGTTCAAGCTTTGTGACATGGGGTGTTGTCCAACTGGAAAATTCCATTTCCAGTTGGGAAGACAGATACTATATAAGAGTGCAACTAATTTGCAGTTATGTTCAGATAGTCCTTAGCTTTCATGGTCTACTACTACAACTAAGGGTCCCAGAGCTTCCCATAGGAACATCCCTCAAACCTTAATATCACAACCGCCAGCCTGTTTATGACTGCTGTTTGGGGGTGGAGCAACTGTTTGCCTAGAAGATGGCATACCCTGATACAACCATCGACATGATGAATGAGAAATTGTGATTAATTCGACCAGGCAACTGTCTTCCATTTATCCATGGTCCAGTCTTGAACTTGGTCCAAATGCAAGTGTTTAAACTGAACTGTGTGAAACACTTGCATTTGGACCTGCATTGTATTGACTGTCAGCTGAGCCATTGTCTTATGCCGATTTTGCTGTACCAAGTGGGACAATCTCCGACATCCTTTCTCTTTGATGATGAGTAGATGTCCAACACCTTGGCGTCTACAGGTAGTTTCACTGTCAGTTAGTCTGTCAGTAGACCAGTCAGTCATCTACTGATAGTTTAAGATAGTTTCATTGTCATTTATCCACTCTGCATAAATACTAACAACAGCAGATCATGAACAAGCTATCAGTTGCGCAGTTTTGGAGATACTCGTTCTGAGTCTTTGGGCTATTACAATCTGCCCTCTATCAAACTCGCTTAGCAGCCTTTCCTATCACTTGCAAATGTAGTGTAAGAATGATTCCTTAACTTCTCCAGCAGCAGTTAAATACCACTTCCACTTAATCATGAGCCCTCCATGTCATTCAGACATATTCATTAAAAAATGTGGAGATGGTTATAATGTTTTGGCTCATTAGTATAAATATATAACTTATTCAAACCACAGACTCAGTTCATTATGCATAAATACATATTGCATACATTTATGATTTTTTTTTTTCGGTTTTACATAACGATGCTTATGAAATTTTACGGTATTCCTAAATTTAAGCGTAATTCCCAAACCAATATTTGCATTGTACCTCTGTAATGCCTACAGTCCGATGAGGAGAAGGAAAAAGGCCTGGCGAGAGAAATAATTACTCCAACAGACCAATCACCGGCAAAACCAGTTGGTTTGTTGGACAAAAGCAATTAAGAAAAAAAAAAAAAAAGAGAGAGAGAGAGCTCCCCCCTTTTTTTTTAGGTTAAAGAAAAAGAATGAAAAGGATAGTGAGGGCAAGGGGACATTTTGGCCCTGGATATTTTGGTTGGAGGACTGTCGCCGTTTTTTTTTTAATGCAGAGATTGTTTTTTTGTCCAGCGAGGACAGAGCCGGACTTATATCCGAAATGATTGTAACCTATGTTCTTATCTAATCAAGAGTTATTTCTTACTAAAGTTTATTACTAAACAAAAAAATAAAAGGTGTCATCTCTAGTCACATTCTCTAGTCTCTTCAGTTTGAATCCCACTGCTGCCACCAGAGTGTGAGTAGCTAGATCCTCCTTTGTTGTCAGATACATGGGAAGGGAATTATTATATTCCTTCCTGTAGCGTAGAGTTCATTTTTTTCACATATGATTCCTTCAATCGATGCATAGATGACACCTTTTATTTTTTATTTTTTTATTTTTTTTTTTTGTTTAGTAATAAAGAGCTCTTCATTAAATAACTACATAGGTTAAATCATTTTGGATATAAGTATTGTATAAAGTACAATATAAGTATTGTATCTGTATAAAACAGGAGTTACAGGACTTGTATAGTGAAGGATAGCTAAATTTGATGATGATAGCCACTAATTTTAAAGGTTTTTAGATATCACAAAACAAAGCCCCAAATTTTTAAATTAACAGATTTTGTAAAGAAATGTGGAGAGACAATAATAAATGAAGATGATATAAAAGAAGTTTTTCATTGTGATGACAATGCTTCTCAATCATCTATCAATTAATGAATGGCGAAATCCATAGTATGGTTTTAGATCCAACCGCTACCGATAGTGAAGAAAGTGACAGAGAAGTTACTGAAAATGAGAAAATTTCGATTGACGAGTTAGTCGGAATTCTCAAAACAGGAGTTACAGGACTTCAACAATGTAACTAACACTAACTAACAAGAGATCATGTCTGTCTACAGAAAAGAGAAAGTATTAGCACAAAAAAACGAAGCAACTTTAACAACTTACATTGAAAGAAATGTTTAATAAGGCAAAACAAATAAATATTAAGCTTTTTTTTGTAAATTTTCATACCCCCTAGATCCTAAATACTTCATTATTTCATAAATCACGATTTCATATTTTTAATTTTAAAATTTCTACATGCCATCTGACTATATTTAAACTGATGATCTAATATCCGGAAAAATCCTAAATCCGGAATCACCGAAGTCCCGACGTGTCCGGATTTTGGACTTTGTACTGTATTGGCTACTAAGTAAATCTTCATTTACACTCCAGTCAATGCTTTCTTCCCCTTTCGTTCCAAATCATTTAGAAACTTCAAATTAATCTTACCAAATTCAGCCATTTTACCGTGTAAAACCACAAAATTGGCAACATACTTCCTAACCAACATCCAACACACAAACAAGTCCTTACAAACCTTTTCCCATCAGTCAAATTCACTGCAATCACGCAACCAATTACATCACAATAGGATATCCATGACATTCAATTACTCAGGTTACCATAAATGAAACAACAACTTGCAATAATCCAAGGGAAACCTTTAAATATAGGCTAACCGATATTTCTCTCTGTATCAACTAGGTGTTCTCTGTTTTGATTATTATTTATTATTGTTAAAATGACCTAAGGATTACATTTAGGGCTATTTGAATTAAGAATAACTGATTTGTTATTCACATAAATCCAGAACCAACGCCAGGGCTCGTATGGCCACACCGAGTCGTAGAATATACGACCCACAGAGACTGACTGCAACAGGCGGTAAGATATCTAGCACAGGCCGTCAATAAGGCTTAAGTATATGTGGGAATTTATTTATTTAGAACTCTGATAAGCCATAAGAAATACACATAAGTATAATAAATAACTTAACTAATAAAATTCAGGCTTAATTGTCTCAATGGCGATAGAAGCAAGATAAAATTTAATGGAACAACTGTCTCATTAGTCGACATTCAATCACTCAGGTTACCATAAATGAAACAACAACTTTCAATAATCCAAGGGGCACCCTTAAATATAGGCTAACCGATATTTCTCTTTGTATCAACTATGTGTTCTCTGTTTTGATTATTATTTATTATTTTTAAAATGGCTTATTTCTAAACAATGAAAACAGAATCCTTCCTTTATTTTCTTTATGTTGGAGCATAGAATAAAGCTTCAACTGTTCTTGGGCATTTGTGAGCATGAATAGCACGTAATACCAAGTTTGTGCATTGTCTGATTTTTTTTTTTTTTTTTTTTAAGTTAAATCACTGAGTAAATAGGGAAAACAGCAGTGCAAAATTTACAGCAGGATTTCTCAAAAAAAAAAGGCATTTTATATTTTTAATATCTCTTTTAAATTGCTGTTAGTATTAAGTGTGCTTTCATTTGATATGTCGATAATGTTTGCCAACTTATAATAAATATCAACAGATTTTTTTAAAAAAATTAACAAATCCTAAACTTGCACTCAATAAGTAATTTTTACCAATTTGATTTTTAATGCACTCAACTTTAATATCACAAATAACCTGCAAGTTGAAGAAAATGCTTGACAATAGAACCAGATCCACAGGAACACGCATAGTTTTCACTGTATGATGATACATCTAACCCTTCAACTGTTCCTTGCAAAGGCTTTAGCAGACCAGTTTGAAACAGTTCACTATAACATCTTCAATTGAAAATAAAGAAATAAATAAATAAAATAAAAAATAAAATAAATAAAAAAAATTTAAGAGTAATAACATTTTCTTAATAATTATAATTTCTGTAGAAATATAACAGTGTAATAATCACAGTATACACAGACCATGATAATAATAAACGGAGACATAAACAGTTAGTCTAAAATATGCAAGTTCAAACCGCGGGGGTTCATTTATATGCAGATTCCCCTTCCTGAAAACTTTAAGATTTACTCAGAAGAAGAAGAATTTGCTGAGAAAATAACACATAAACCATAAAGGTCCTCAAATATTAAAAAAAGTTTTAAAAAAAATTAGAGATGCCTGTCATAAATGCATAAAATTGTGTAGATACTAATCTCTACTGTCTTATAATGATAAAGGTGCAAGTAAACAGTTAAAATTTGCAAAACACCTGCACATCTTAACATCATACTATTGGAATGAAAAAAATTTTAACAAATGTAAAGATAAACCATATCTAGCCCTCTCAGCATTACAGATGGAGAATTTCGTCTAGAAGGCTGGCTTTTGTATACATTACATGTGAAAATATCTGCCAGCATTTAATGTATCTGACTTCAGGTTGGTTATATATTGGAAGGAAAGGAATCAAGGTAAAAAATGAGAGAGTCGTTTTTTTTTTTTTTTTTTAAATTATAATTAAAATAAAATTTATTAATGACATTTTAAGGAACTTTGAAATTTGAGGCTAAACCCGTAATGCTCAGAGGGCTACTGTAAGATTAATTATAGTACATGCTATAATAATTCTTAAACAATTACTTTTGAAAAGACAAACGTATTTTTGTATTATCCTGTCGATCACGAAATTTGACTACCATCAAACCACAACAGCCGCTGGAGATCACTCAAAAGTAATGCCAATCCTAACATGGAATTCTGGAGGATATGACATCTCTTTATTCAATAAATAACCAGTATTAGACCTCCTTCATAAAAAGGCTCTCATCAATTTCTAGTAGTTTTAGGTCCTATGATTTTACAGGAAGCTCTGTTTAAAATGCTATGAGTACAATTTTCCCACAAGTATTAGTTCCAGTCTATTACTGTTTTTTTTTTTTTTTTTGGGCTATTTTCAGCAAACCATATCATATCCATTAATACCCACTCTATTTATGGTAGGATCTCATAACTTTGAAAATAATCTACTGTTTGCTATTTTGTAGAAGGCAAGTTCAAATTTTAATAATTGTGTTACGAATGGAAGAAAAAATAGATTTTGTTAATTTGCATCCTTGCTCATAAAAATAAATGACTGGTTAATGAGAATCAATCAGGGTTACAAATAGGAGCTCTATGAGACAAAAGCATAGATATTATGTTACTTTTCCCCCATTTATTCATTTTCTGGGACAAATTTTAATACATTTTAAATCATTAGAAATAAAAACAAGAAATAATAGTATAAATCTATACATATAATTTTATTATAATCAATCAAGTTAATTGAGATACTATTTTGAAGCTTTGTATTTTTTGATTTGGGGTAGGGTTTGTCCAGGGACTCGGGTGTCTTAAATACCGTTCGACAAGACCATAGATGTTATAAGAGTGTTTTTTATCACGATTATCCATAACTGGCACTAAATTGCATTGCTTAGTGACACTTTCATGGTCAACGGGATAATACTTAAGTACCAAAGCAAACATTATACATGAATTTTCAAGTGTGCGAGTCCTTAATACTAATGCTATTCAAGGAAGCTGCCTCGTTTGTGACACTGGCTGCCATTTGGTTGGGCCCAGGTTCAAATCCTGGAGAAGGCATGGATGTTGGTAAGTACATGTCTGTATAGCATGGGGGCACTTAACATACAGGCAAGCCAAAAGTCCTCGCAAGTTTTTTGGGGAAGAGGAGTGGGAAAGCTTTGGATCTAACCACCTTGTGGATGTTCTCAATCAAAATTGAGTGCAGCTGTACAATTAGCATGAAAGGACTATATGATTAATGGTGAAATCTGATGCTTTGCTCACTTCTATACCTTCCAATTCAATTTTAAAATTAGAAAACAATTGATTAATTTTTGTATGCAATATATTTTTTGGGGAAAAAGCCTAACTTTTGCCTACAGTATGTTTTCTTTAACCCGCAGGAAGGCGCGTGGGGTGTACCATACCCCACCCTTACATAAAAGTGGAATATTCCTAACTTGAGAAACTGAAATTCTGTGCTGCATTCAGTAGCTGAGTTTCTAGTTGTGGTGACTTTCAGAACCGCTTTTTCTTTGTCTGTGTGTTTCAGAAAAAAAAATTATCAGTATTTTGTTGGAACTGGGGTATGACACACCCCACGCGCCTGTCCGTGTAAGTGTTTTTCTGACCGAATATTTAGTTCAGAAATTTAATTCTAGAGTGTAACATTAAATATTTCTACTCGCAAGTGATTTTAAAGTACTTGACATTAAATTCTTGAAAATTTCCTAATTATGCGTTATAATAAGGTAAAAAGAATGACTCCCTAATTGGAGATGCAACGCCAGTGAGATTTATTAGAAATATTTGAAAGCAAGGAAGATTGCATTTTGGAAACTGAAGATGAAACTAGGAATATTTTCTACACTGTTTTGGTTTCGAAAAAGATAAAACATTAATTCCTAATGTCCCTAAAAAAGTAAAAACTGTCCTTATGCTTTCAACATTATACAACAATCATACTATAGATGATACTATTGGAGAAAATAAAACGTCAGGAATTACATGTTTTTATGATATGAATTAAGGAGCAGTGCATATGGGAGATGAAATGTCAGCCAATTATTTAATTGCCAGAATAACAAGGAGGTGGCCAATGGTAATTTTCTTTCCTGCACTGAATGTTGCTGTAATAAATGCTTGAATTATATTACATTCAACTGCTAATCCACCAACCAGAAACAGAAGCAGATGTCTGTTTTTGAAGGAACTTAGCATTACAATTAATGAAAAAAATGTATTGAACAAAGAACAGAGATTAATACTTTTCCCAAGAAACTACTGACACGTACTGCATGCAAAACAAAAGCAGAAGTTTTCGACGAATAATTCAAAACGAATACATGAAATTCGAAACAACTAAGCATGAAAGATGTGAATAAATTTTTTGCCCTCGAGCCACCAAGGACAGAAGAATGTGAATGCAATGTTTAATGTTTAATATGTGAAAACATTCTGTGACCAAGAGCACATGAATGTATTTCGTTCAAAGTGTGAAGAAATAAAATAAGCATGGTGTATTAGAGATGCAATGAATCTTAGAGGCATGATGTTTATTTTTTTATATTTTCATTTATCTTAATTTTAACTCGAAGATTATTTTGGAAATTAATTTTTTTCAAACCCAATTATTATTCACGTATTTATAGCATATTTTAGATTTTTTCACGTATTTAGAACAAGGAAAACAGCTTTAAAACTAAATAAAACTATTTTTATTGTATTTTAAATATTGGGGTATGTGATACCCCACACCCTCACTCTAGTAACTTTTCTTGGTGCAACTTCCGCCGTGTTAATACTGTTTGTTATTTCTTGGCAGATATGATACTTTTCGGTAGTAGGAAAAAAAGTCACCTGGAAAAAAAGGAACGTAAAATTAAGAAATGGAAAGTAAGTCACCCTTTGTTTGCAATGGGAAAACTAAGGCATGTCTAGAAAGATCACCAAGCTGGGTTGCTCGTTTAATTTTAATTAAACGTAACGTATTTGCACAGGAAACAATTGTTTAATTTTGCATTTAAGTCTGAACAGGAAAATAAAAAAATGACAGTTATAAAAAATTAAGAGGTTTATTTCAAAATTATATTAAAATTTTAAAATTTAATTAAAATGGATCCTATAACCATGTGATCTAGATTTAAACATTTAATATACAATGAACCCTCTTATGGCGACCTCTTCCAAAAGAATTTCACAAAGTAGAAATAAACACTTATACTGAGCATTATCTCTCTAAGATGATCACCTCCATCGAATACCAAATTAATTAGAAACGTGGATAATCATCTAACAGAGGATTTAACAGGGTTCATACACATTTCTGAATATGGAAATTAAGTACTTTTAAGGAAATGAAAAAATGAAAAAAATTTACTGAATAATTTCAATTAAATACAGTCAAAAGTCTTTAATCCGGACTCGTCGGGACTTCGGCGATTCCGGATTATCGATTTTTCTGGATTATAGATCATCTGTTTAAATCTGGTAAGATGGCATGCAGAAATTCTAAAATTAAAAATATGAAACCGTAATTTATGAAATAAAAAAACAATTATGATCTAAAGGGTATCAAAATAAAAAAAAAGGCTTAATATTTATTTGTTTACTTTATTAAACATTCTTTCAACGCACGCATGCGTAAAGCATACATTACACATAGTCGAAATTAGAAAATTGCAACCAGAAAACTATTTGATGTGTATTCGGGATATTTATAATGACGAGGAATTTGATTTAAATCATATCAAAGACGGAGTACATCGAGATGAAATACTACATTTAGTAAGGAATTATAAGCCGAATGAAATAAAAACATCTGCCCTGAAGATAAGGATAGTGCTGACATATCAACTTCCAGTTCATTGTGCGCCACGACGTTTCCCTCCCCCACAGAGCAGCGTGAAATTGATAAACAGATTTCGGAATGGTTAGAGAAACAAAGGATATGCCTTTATCCATTTTTTGCAGCAATTCCACTTTTTGTTTGATGGACATCGAAACGTGTTTTCGCTTTGTAGGTATCCTTTGGCAGCTCCAGAATCGAAAATTATTTTTGACATACTCAAAAGTTCAAGCTTACTTTTACAAAATTGCTCTAACAGTCTGCAAAAAATAATAAGCCGGATCCAATTCGAAGATTAAGGAACAACGCTATCTGCAACATTAACTGAAATAGATAATTAGATAATTTTAGCTTAGCTTATACCGTCCGTTATACATTAAATGCGCATGCGTAAACGTATTATGCGCATGCGTAAAGATATTACGA